AGCATGGTTTGTGTGAGGAATAAATCACCAACTAGTTAGGAATCGATTCGAATCGCCATCGCTCCTGGATAATGAGCACTTGACTTGAGCTACGACATCGTAGTAATTATGATGGAACACTAATGGTTATCTGGATGATATGAGATAGGCTAAAGCTAAATTGGTAATTGGATGTTATTGTTAATCAATTGATTGCTATAGTACAGGTGCTTACCTAGATGAATAGGTTATAATAAAGATGATACAAAGTATTTAAAATGGTTTCTTCATGATAGCTTATGCTTTTCGCAAACAAGTCAGCTAGCCCACTAAAGAAAGCCTTGCATAATCCTTGGTGTCGCTTTATTTTGGTTTAAGACGGGTAAGTCTAGCTGAGTACCTTCTCGTACTCAGGGCGTTGTTCCCATTGTTGTTGCAGATGGTCAAATGTACTACGGCTATTGCATTAACTGCCTGTATCCGGCGATGGGTGACAACTAGGACCAAGGGCAATGGTCACTCCATATCTCTCATCTGATGCTTTTGTTGGAGATGACTACCTACTGGCATTGTATCTGAACTAGAAGTGTGTGTGTGGCTTTAAAACTATTTGCTTCCGCTATTTTCAGTTTGAACTTGGATTGTAATAACTTTATATTCTAAACTCTGATGTACCGAACTGTGATTGCGAACTTTATGTAACGTGTGACGGTACTTATTAAACTTGTACGATCTTAGTTTGTATGTCGATTGGTTTGAAATCCTTCGTGGTTTCACGGACTACCGGGTTATACGGGCTTAAGTTTGCTAAATTATCTGCTTCGGCGGAAGATTTTCTTACTTAATCTCGTATAATTGGTCAGTTCTGTTACAAGAACGATCAAGGATAGGGGTTGTATTGGCTAATCCTGTCGCCACTGTCCGCCATGGCCGCAAAGCCAAGAACGTGCGTGGCCGGATTTTCCATCCCTCTCTTGGTCATCGTCTCGGTATCCCTGACGTAGGAGGCGACTCCACCAGCGGAGGCGGCGCATGGCCGCGCCATCCACGCCACCCGCGTGCATGGTTGCGCACTGCCCCGTCATCCTGCGCATAGCCGCGCCATACCCGTCCGCCCACGTCGCCCGCGCGCACGGCGTTCAGCGAGGCGCGGTGGGCCCCGAAGTGGCGCGCAGCCCACCTCTAGGCGCAGCGTGGCTGTCCTCCAGGCCGCGGCGTGGCCGGCCCCTAGGCGCGGCGTGGTTGGCCCCTAGGCGTGGCGTGGCCGGACCTCAGGCGCGGCTCGCGGCCAGCTCGGGGACGGCGTGCAACCGTCGTCCCGCAGGGCGCGGCGCGGTTCTCGGTCGGCCCCGAGAACGATGAGCACGCGCTCGTGGTGGCACCGGAGCACCCGACGTGAGATGCAAGCAAGGCGGGCGTCCGAGGACAGGGCTCGTGCTAGCGACTGGCGCGTGGGGCATGGGTGCGCTCAGACGACGAGCACCTCCGGTTCGACGGCGCGAGCTAGGGCGAGGAGACGGACATGGAGACCGACCCATCCTCGGCGCCATCCCCGTCCCCGTCGTCGTCCCATGCTCCTTTCGCGTCGGCTGAAGCAGCGGGCGCTAGGCCTCAGCTCGCGCTCGCGCTTCTCGTCTTGAGGAGGAAGGTGTTTGGAGTCGTTGACAGCTTGGCCCCACCCGGCGGAGAGAGAAAGAGGCAGAGGATGATGTTATGAGAGAAGGGTATTTTAAACATTTTCACTGGTTAGGCCCACGTGTCAGGGCTGGCAAATGGTAAAAATCAGACGGAACGTGGACAGAACGGCTCGACAGTGGAAAAAAAATGTCATTGTATTACCGTGCGTTTGAACTTTTTAGAGGCTTGGAGCATCTTTTCCTACTGCACAAAGTAAAAGACTCTCTTCCCTCCGCCTGCCGCGCCGTCAAGCAACGCCGCCTCCCGTCCCCATGGACACCACACCTTCCACCTCCGCCTCCGTCTCGCCGGCGGCCGCATCCGGCCCCGCCCCCTACCCGGACTCAGCTCTTGTCTCGGCTGTGGCTGACGCGCTTGTATCCGCCTCCCGCCAGCCCTCGCCGCCGCCCATGGACACCGTCCTGGCCCCGTACCTCCCGCGCCTCGCCCCCTCGCACCACCCGCAAGTGATCGCCCTTGCCGCCGCCAACCCAGCGCTCGCCTCTCCGCACACTCTCCTCGCCTACCGCCGCCTCGTCTCCCCGCCGTCCTGCCTCCCCTCCCTACTCCCGCTCCTCCCCATGCTCCCCTACCGCAACCTCCTCTCGCTCCTCCTCGACTTCGTCCCGCTCGACCCGCTGCGCCACCTCCACCGCCACCTCCTCGCCAGCCTCCCCACGAGTGCGCTCGCAGACGCCGCGCTGTCCGCCTACGCCCGCCTACGCCTCCCCCACCTCGCCGCACAACTCCTCCACTCATTCCGCCGCCGCGGGCGCGTCCGCCCCTCCCTCCAGGCAGCCAACGCCGTGCTCTCCGCACTCGCGCGCAGTCCGTCCGCCTCGCCGCAGGCCTCTCTTGATGCCTTCCGCTCCCTCATCGCGCTGCGGCTCCACCCCAATCACTACACCTTCAACCTCCTGGTGCACACCCACTGCTCCAAGGGCACCCTCGCCGACGCCCTCTCCACGCTCTCCACAATGCAGGGTTTCGGCCTCTCCCCCGACGTCGTCACCTACAACACCCTCCTCAAGGCTCATTGTCGCAAGGGCATGCTCGGTGAGGCGCGGACGCTGCTGGCCAGGATGAAGAAGGAGGGTATTGCACCCACCAGGGCCACGTATAATACCCTCGTCTCAGCGTACGCGAGGCTTGGGTGGATCAAGCAGGCGACCAATGTCGTGGAGGCCATGACAGCATTCGGTTTCGAGCCTGACCAGTGGACATACAATGTGCTCGCCGCAGGGCTGTGCCAGGCAGGGAAGGTGGACGAGGCATTTAAGCTGAAGGATGAGATGGAGCGGCTCGGCATAGTATCGCCTGACGTAGTCACCTACAATACGCTTGTTGATGCATGCTTCAAGCGTCAGCGCTCTTCTGATGCACTGAATCTGCTCGAGGAAATGCGTGACAAAGGGGTGAAGTCAAGTTTGGTCACACATAACATTGTTGTGAAGGGGCTCTGCAGGGAGGGGCAATTGGAAGAGGCGTTGGGGCGTCTGAAAATGATGACAGAGGAGGGATTGGCACCAGATGTGATTACATACAATACATTGATTGATGCATACTGCAAAGCCAGGAATGTTGCCAAAGCATTCGTGTTGATGGATGAGATGGTGAGGAGTGGACTCAAAATGGACACTTTCACCCTAAACACTTTGCTATATAACCTATGCAAAGAGAAGCGTTATGAAGAGGCTGAGGAGCTCTTGCGTTCACCGCCGCAGAGGGGTTTTGTACCTGACGAAGTCAGCTATGGTACAGTGATGGCAGCCTACTTTAAGGAGAATAAACCAGAGCCTGCTCTGTGTCTGTGGGATGAAATGTTTAAGAGGAAGCTAACGCCGAGTATTTATACTTACAACACATTGATCAAAGGGCTTTGTACAATGGGGAAGTTGACAGAGGCGATTGATAAATTGAATGAGCTGATGGAGAAGGGGTTGGTACCAGACGACACCACCTACAATATCATCATTCATGCGTACTGTAAGGAAGGGGACTTGGAGAAAGCTTTCCAGTTCCACAACAAGATGCTGGAGAATTATTTTAAGCCAGATGTTGTTACCTGCAACACTTTAATGAATGGGCTTTGTCTGCATGGCAAGCTTGAGAAAGCGATGAAGCTTTTCGAGTCATGGGTAGAGAAAGGGAAGAAGGTTGATGTTATCACATATAATACCTTAATTCAAGCTTTGTGCAAAGACGGAGATGTTGATACAGCTTTGTGTTTCTTTGCTGACATGGAGGTCAGAGGCTTTCAACCTGATGCATTTACATACAATGTTGTGTTGTCTGCACTATCTGAGGCAGGGAGATCAGAGGAAGCACAGAATATGCTCCATAAATTAGATGAGAGCGGGAAATTATCTGAAAGATTTTCTTATCCTTTAATTAAATCTTCTGCGGAGGAAGTGGAGACTGGGAAGGACCCAGAGGTTAAATCTGACAGTGAATCTGGTGGGAATGCAAAAGGTGGTGATCAGGAGAGCTATAATAAATCTGTAAAGGAACTCTGCATTGGTGGGCAACTGAAAGAAGCTAAGGCTGTTTTGGATGAGATGATGCAAAAGGGCATGTCTGTTGACAGTTCAACCTATATCACTTTGATGGAAGGCCTTATCAAAAGGCAAAAGAGGCAAACACATGCAGCTGGATAGGATATGATGGGTTTTGCTGCTGTGGTATGTGACATTGCCCATGGTTTTGCCATAACTTATCAGTTGGTCATAAACTGACTAGGCATATTAGCTGGTCCTTGGATTATATTAAATGTAAGAATAATAGTAGCAACAATTCGAATTTGGAATTTTGCTAGAATTTAGCATGCTCCTCAAAATATATTCTTTGAACACTTCTCACGTGACGTTGTAACATTGAGGGTTATTTAATAAAATCTGTTCAAAGGGTGGTATGTTGTCTTTACCGGTTTTCCTTTCTGCTATTAACGCAGAGGGTGATGCTAGCCTTTCTAGCAAGAGAAATGAAGATCATTCTGAACAGGTCCAGTCGGTGTGGATAGAGCATATGAATGACAAACCATTGTGATTTGTGACCAACCAGGTAAGTTTTTTGTTATTCTCACCTCCTGTTCTTGAACTTTCATTTACCTTCATTTTGCCAAGCTCTTTTTATGAAAACTTGCTTACTAGTTGTAACCAGGGTTTCCTTTTTTCGGTCGAAATTCCCGGAAATTTCTGTTCTATCAGTGGGGCCGATAAAACTAGCTATCTGCCAAATTTTCCAGGCTTTTCCTTGCTCCCACTCAGATGGCCCAAATTCAACCGCACGACGGTCCAATAGCGCCTATAGCTCCTCCCAGCCCACCAAAACCCTAGAAATCCAATTCATTTCCCAATCTTTCCCCTCTCACTGGCTACAGCCACGCTCATGGCGGCGCCGCCGCCATAGCCACGAGCCCCCACCTCCAACTTCTCTGGCTTCGTTTCCTGATAGAACTCAGGCAGGTCTCTGGCGAGCTTCATGGGGAGTGTCTCCGCTGCCGGTCCCGTGTCCCAGCGTTGAGATGTTGCCCTGTAGCCCGTCGCTTGTCTGCGCCAGCCCATTCCACGTTGGTGGAGCGCAACGTATGTCTCCATACTCTTCAACAGCTTCACTTTCAGCACACACGGCCGGACGCGTATTCAGTGGATGCAGCGCGACGTACGGGTGTATGGCTTCACGCCTTCAGCAGTTCAGCACTCCAGTGTTTGGTATGTTTTCTCTTTTCTACTTAAGGAAACTTTCTTGCCAGCAATAGATGATAGATGGTAGAGAAGTGCAGTGGTGGTTTGCTAGCTGAATAATTAGTGCTGAATCATTCTAGGATGTTGTTTGAGTACAAAATAGTTTCTTTTATTTGTTCAACTTGCTGGATTAGAGACTAGTAGACTTAACTGGAAGCGTGTATCAACCTGCATTTTTGTACAGAATGACTACTCTTGTATAAAATGAAATTCATTTTGGGAATTTTGATACAGCATGTTTCAATCCTAATTGGCAGACAAATCCTAGGAGAGATGGCATTCCATGGCAGTGGCAAGGGGAAAGGGAAAGCTGTAGCTGAAAGCAGCGGCGAGCCGTCCAGTGTGGCTTGTGGGTCATCTAACACATATGTGGTTACTACTGGAGGTCTGTTTGTGTAACAAAATACCTAATTTATTTTTGTTTCATGTTTCATCCATTTGAATTGTTTTGCTCTAATGATGGATCACGCTGTTTTTTTAGGGAGGCAGATACAATTGAAAGGAGCAATTGAGGATACATGGAGCCATGGGACACCGTGCGGTAAAAATGGCTTCAAGTGTGGCTACTGTTCTGTAGGCCAGCAAAGTGGAGGGTGGACCTGCCTAACGCAGCATTTGTGTGGATTACCCGGTAATGTGAAGTCATGTTCCCATGTGCCACCTAATGTTAAGAACATATTGCTTAAACAAGTAGCATAGCGAAGCAAAAGAAGAGGGATGTTAGGGAAACTTGTCTTGAGAAGGCACTCATGGAGCATGATTACAGAACCGCTTTGGCTAGCCTTGACGAAGAGTCACAGTATGAATCTATGAGAATGAGATGGCAGTGCAAGAGTCACTAATGGATATTGGCTTAACTCCTAATAGTAGGGCAAGTGGTAGTGGTATTTGTCAGGCAGCCAGTCTAGGTGGGTCAAGTGGCAGCCCTCTGTTTCACATGGGAAGTGACACTAGTACTGGGGTTTCAAATCTAGGCAAAGCAGCAGTGGGAGGAGTAGGTCTGCTACCTTAGGCAAGGCAAGTGGCATTGGCAGTGGGCTGCTGCCTCCAGTAGACAAAGCTCGCTTCACAGTTTCTACCAGAACCTAAGTTCATCAAAAGCTCCCTTTAATATAGACTTGGCACGTAGTAAGGCACCATCACAGCCTCGAATTGACATTATGCTTAGTTGGGATTCCAAGCTTAAGCTTGCTTGGTCTAAGTTTTTCCATGCCAATGATATTCCTGGAAGGAAAGCTGACTGCCCCTACTTTCAATCGGCGGTTAAATTGAGTCAACAACTTGGGGAAGTGCTTATCCCGAAAGGAAAAGAAATAGATGGTCCATTGGTAGAACAGAATTTTAATGACTTGAAAGCTCACATGGAGTCTTTTAGGGAAGATTGGGATCGATTTGGAGTTACCCCCATGTGTGATTCATGGACAAGCACTAGCATGATGTGTATTATTAACTTTATGATCTTTTGTGATGGCCACATGTTCTTTCACAAGACCGTGAATGCAACTGGTGAGGTCCAAAATGCAGAATTCATTTATGGTTGTATTAGTAAGGTTGTTGAGGATGAGATTGGTTCCAAGTGTATCATTCAAATTGTGATGGATAATGGTTCCAATTACAAGAGAGCATGCAAAATGCTCATTGCTAAGCATCGACATATTACATGGCAGCCTTGTGCTGCACATACTATAAATTTGATGCTGAAGGACATAGGGCGATTTAATGAGGTTGAGCATGTAGTGAAGAGTGCAAAGCGCATAAGTAATTTCTTCTATAACAATAACAGATTTCATGCTATGATGAGAGAGAAGATTGGTGGAGAGCTGATCCGGTGGAATGCCACTAGATTTGGCACGGTGTTCTTGTGCTTGCAGAGTTTTTTTGATAGGCAGGATGAGTTCAAGGCATGGATGGTATGTCCTGAGTGGAAAAACAGTGAATAGAGAAATGAGCCAGACCATGAATTTGCATATGATTGTTTGACAAATAGGGTGTGGTGGGAAAAGATGGAATTGGTGTTGGACCACTTTTCTGTGTTCTCTGCTATGCTGATCAACAAAGGAATGGTACTGTATCTGGCTTCCTTCCAAAGATGATACATGCATATAATGAGAATAAGTGGTAAATTAAAAAAATGGTAAACATGCTAAAGAAGATCTTCATAAGAGGGTAGCTGAAGTAATCAGTAAAAGAGTTCGATAGCTTCTCAATGAAACACTTATTCATGCAGGTAACAACCATGGACTGATCTGAAATTTTTGTTCAATTAATGTTTCTTTGCATCCATTCTAAATTTCTAATGTTGCTTTCAGTTCATATGTATCTAACATTACTGATTTCTTTGCCTTTGTAGCTGCTGTTCTTGATCCTCAAGAATCATACAGGTCAAACCTTGCAAAAAAAGTCAACTTCCCAATTTGCTGTAACCATGGCAATCAAACTCAACGTCAGAAGCAGCAGCTGCGATTGACCAATTTTCTCGGTTCATTGAAAAGAGATTGTTATTTGGAGATACAGAAGCTCGGTGGTCAGCACTAAATGGCAAAACCAGCGCAGGTATTGATCTGCTGTTACTCCTATGTGTAACAGTAGTTACTACCATGACTATATGGGACATGTAGTATTTTATTTTATTTTGAGATGGAGACATGTAGTTATTTTTACTGCCTTACTGGAGATAATTAACTCTGATAGTTTGTGAATATAGACAATGTTGCTACACAGTTGGCTCTGATAGTTTGTAGACTCAACATCAGTCTTAGATAGCTATTTTGTTATCTGAAAATCAATTTTTTCATTTGTTCTTTTTTTAGAAAGAAATAAATACTTTGCCATTTGCATTCATTTTAAATTGTGTATAGATATTGCCATTTGAAGGGTGGGCCTGGTGCAAGCGGTAGAGTCTTACCGCCTGTGACCGGAAGGTCCCGGGTTCGAGTCGCGGTCTCCTCACATTGCACAGGCGAGGGTAAGGCTTGCCACTAACACCCTTCCCCAGACCCCGCACAGAGTGAGAGCTCTCTGCACTGGGTACGCCCTTTTTATAGATATTGCCATTTCCGAATTTTTTATTAATGTCACTCTCCACTTATCTAAGGCCTAGCACTGTACAACTGAAAGTTTCTTTAGTAATGAGTTCCTAATTTACATGCATGATACTAAAAAGAAAAAAAAACATTTAGCTCATTATGGACCTTTTGTTTTTCCTCTACAGTTCGCTTATTGAAACCAGGACAATGCTTTTTAGAGAAGCTTGGTGGCAAGCAGACTATTCTCTTAGCCCTGCTTCCGATGTTGCAGGATGTATGCATGACTAGTTGGCCGTTCATCGCCCATTTGGTTAGCAGCACTTTTGATACCCCTTGGGCATTGGCCCTGTATGTAACACTGCTTCCTGTAATACTGCTTTAGGTTTACATAGGTTGCTGATTCTTTGTGGTTAGAGAGTTAAATTTTTTAACTTATTGTGTTTGGTACTCACTGTAATTTCACTGTTCCCATTTTACTCTCAGTTGAAATCCTCGTTTCAATCTGTGTTTGCTGCCATTTGCTGGGACATATGGAAGACGCAAAATTCTGTGTGCTTTGAAGGCAAAATTGTGACAAATCCTGCTACTATTATTTGTTATGCGTGTTCGCTCATGGGTTACTGGGCAGGCTTATTCCTGGGAGCGTACAGAGAAGCTTTAGAAGCGGGTGTCAACACCATGCTGGCGATAGCGGTGAAGCTGACGTCGAAAAAGAAGGCAAAGCAAGATCAAGCGCTGCTGAGGGATGACCAGAGCGACGATCAAGATGCTTGAAGTCTTTGCGGCGACATGAGACCAGTGTCCGATGGCTGCATGTTTTGATAGTTGTGATGTTACCTTTTAAACTGCTTTTGTCAGTTATGGGTCTTAAGGGCGTGTGGCCTCTTCTTGCTGGTCGTAGCTGGACGTTTTTTTCTACTTAGTTTCGCGTCTGAGGCAGGCGCCCTGGCTGGGTAGTAGCTGTTATTTTCTGTATTGATCTTGCTCTGCTCTGTAAACTCTTAAAACTGCTGTATTTCCGTTGATTTCAATGGGAATGGGGAAGGTTCCTCGCGTGAAAAAAAAAACTGTGTCACCACATGGAATTTTGCACTTCAACGGGTCGTATCCACCCGCTGCCGCCTGCTATAACAATACGTACAGAATCAGTTTAGTCTCCTGGTGTTTCTCCACCTGCCAAATTTCAATCTGCAACCAGCCGTTCTGATGCTGCATATCTTGTTACTCTGTAGTATAAAATTGTCTTGTTGCAAGCATCAAAAGCGCAACCTAGCTAAAATTCCTGCAAAAAGAACAACTAGGAATTGCAACAGGAACAAGCATGTCTGGTCCAACTGTGCAAGTGCCGATACAGTACAAACGCTAGTATCGAACGAAATCAGCATACTACATTTTGATTCCTAAACAAGGATGAATAGTCTGTTTGGTAGAAAGATGCATTTCACATTTTCATTCCTCATGGAGAAGGGAGCCAAGCATAGGACACTGCCGTCTCCATCCTGCGCCGGCGCTGGTTGCTCCTGCTCGATCCATGCAAGGGGAAGGTTCCCGCTGTAAGCTCCTGCTCGTCCCCTACTCCCCTGTACGTTCCGTTGGTTGCGCATTGCTGGCCGCTTCCCGGCTAAGTTATACTTATTATATACAACGTTCTTGTGGCTTGTGAGTATTCCAATTCTGTCAGCCAATGAATCTACGGTGAGTGGCGCCTCGTTGGTGAGGTGGGGTTGCCATCATATCATCTGGATAGATGGTGACATGTTTTCCTACTTGGAAGCTATATTCTGTGTAAAAAAAAGCCAGGAGCCATCCTTTAGCATCTTGAGGACTTGAGGTAGGCGGTGTCACCTCTGTTTATTCTTATGGTAAAAGGTCATCCCTGTTTATGTTGCGTACTTGTATACCATTTTATGACAAAAGGTCATCCCTGTTTATTCTTATGGTAAAAGGTCATCCCTGTTTATTCATATGAACTGGAAAAGATACATGTTATTTTGGACTTGAGGATGCTCTTGACTGTTGCTGAGGAAAGATTCTGTTATATATGAAGAGCATATACACTGGGCAGCATGCATGCAGGAGCCACTAACTGCCAAGCTCTGAAGTTCCTAGTCTATGTTTTCGTCAGTATGACGCTCTTTCTAGAGATTGATTTGAAAATGAACAAAAAGACAAACTAAAAAAATAGATATTGCATAGTCACATCAAGTACTGTTTGTTTCATTTTCAAACTGAGCATCAAGTTTGGCATGTATGTTTACCCAAGCAAGGTAGGCAAAAGAGATGAAGAATATTCACCTTTTTTCACTTATTTGCCCTCCAAGGAACGGTAAGTGGCGATGGACAGGCCTCAGTAGGACCCTCATTTCTTCGCTGCACGCCTGCACTGCACTCATCAGTGTTACATTCTTTGTCCTTTTACGGTTTACGCCCCCAGGCAGTTTGATGCCATCTATGGTCACGAGTTCTCTTGCACGAGCGAAAAGCTAGTCGTATAAGTTAAAACTGCGGGCCGATCCTGAATATGACCCCCAACTGCGGGCCGAAAAGCTAGTCGTATAAGTTAAAACTGCAGTTTGATGCCATCTATGGCTGATTGCACTCGTCAAGACGTTAATCACCTGTAATCTACGGCACGTACAGGAAAAGGCGCAGCGAAGGCAAAAGCGACTTGTTGGTGTGTGTGGATCGTCTCATCCGATCGATCATGGACGGATGAGAAAGCGACCGATGGAGAGGGCTACCCGCGTACGTACTCTACGCAGTTCGCATGCCATGAGTGTTTGGATCGATCGCTCTGGCCTCGACCAGGAACGTGCTTGCCGGGGCCTTTGCACCTCAGCCTCAGGTAAGCAGCACGGACGAGCAACCAAAATCTCACGTCTCCAGAGCCAGCAGCACCTTTTTGACTTGAGGCCGTGAACTGAGCCGGCTGGCTTGCCCCTAGATATCCGACAAGTTAGTGCCACGTTCGTTTGGCTTATAAGTTGTATTTTTTCAATCAACAAATCAGTCAACAATATTTTTAAACATGGCTCATCAGATAAGCGAGGATAGAGCTGCACGCCCGGGGTCACGATGGGCGCTGGGCGGGCAGGCAGGACCTCGTCTAGCGAGGCGATGCGTGGACCGGCCTGAGTTACGGTGGTTATCCAGTATTATCCACCTGTACATGCATGAGCATGAGCATGAGCATGAGCATCCGCTGATCCGCGAACGGCCACTTGCGCATTGCAGCGACACGACAGGCACGTCGCGGTCACGCGAGGAAATGAAAATCTTTCTACCGAGGACCGAGCATAGGCTCGGTTGGCTTGCTGCGCCGGCGTGCGAGCAGCCCACCCAAGTTCCATCCCCCATCCTATCCTTGATCGACTCGCGTGCCTCACCGTTGCCCGAGATTTTTCTGAGATTTTTACCTCTCGCGCATGATACCACAATGGGATCGTGACGTACCCGTCGCCTACGAAATCAGAGAATTTCGGTGATCTCAAGAAGGACGCGGTCTTCATATCTGAGTGTAGTTATATGTTTTGTTTGTACACGGGTGGTGTGAGTAGTGTGTGTTGAGTGGACGTGCGTGTGTACGAACAGATGCTACAGCGGTACCAGATGAGAGGCATTAAAAAAAATCTTTCACCTTCCCCTGGCGTGGCAGTGGCCCTTCCTTCTCGTGGCTACAGGACAACCGCGCTTTCCTGCACTCATCAGTGTTACATTCTGTCCTTTTACGGTTTACGCCCCCAGGCAGTTTGATGCCATCTATGGTCACGAGTCACGAGTTCTCTTGCACGAGCGAAAAGCTAGTCGTATAAGTTAAAACTGCGGGCTGATCCTGAATATGACCCCCAACATTCACGTGATCCGCTCGGTTCGTTTGGTCTTATTTAACTTATAAGTTATGACTAAAAATACTATTAGCTGATTTAGTATGAGAGAAAAATATTATTCGTTGGTTGATAAGCTAAACCAAACACGACCGAAAGAACAGGCTGGATGACGGCGGTTCTTTGCTCCTCGGCAAATTAGAGAAGTTTTGGGCGATCGCCCGTGCACAGGTAAAGAGAAGCTTGTGGGGTTCAGCTTCGATTTTTGGTGTATACGGCCATCGCATGGTGGAGGAACCAGGATCTGTTCCGAATCACTGGTGTACCACATGTGTATTTTTTTTATTTTCGTACATACAAAAGTATATAAAGAAAAAAAAAGAAACTTACATGAACTCCTTGGGCCCTTTGAGCTGCCAGTTGCCAAAGCCGGCTCTGTTTCACATGCATGCATCCAACAATGAGCCACTGCACAGCCGGCTCTGGTAGCTAGCACACAACGATTCTGCCAATTAATTCTCCGAATCTGACGTCGGTTGTTCATGCGCTGCAGATTACTGAAACCAGTATCAGGGCCTATTTAGTTCCCAAATATTTTCGCGCCAAGGTGTCACATCGAATCTTGCGGCACATGTAATGCATGGAGTACTAAATGTAGACGAAAAAAAACTAATTGCACAGTTGGATGAGAAATCGCGAGACGAAACTTTCGAACCTAATTAATCCATAATTAGACACTAATTACCAAATACAGATAAAAGTGCTACAGTAGCCAAACCCAAAATATTTTGGGAACTAAACGCGCCCTCGGTATCCCAAATGCATGGCCTCCAGAAGATACGTTACACCGAACCTGTTACTAGGAGAAGTTCAGTCGCTGAGAACCATGCATGCAATGGGATGACTCCAGGTGAAGTTCAGTCGCTGAGAACCAATGGCTCCGGCCAGGAGAAGTTCAGAACGCGTCGCCGTTTCAGTCAGTGAACCCGTGCACAGACGAGAGGACCGTTCGTGCTCGTGCGTGCCGGCCTTGCATTTGCAGGGGATACCAAACACTCTCAGGCCTCGTACCGTCTGCCGAGCCACGGGCCCACGGCCACCACAGTTGCGAGTAGAATATGCAGAGGACGGACGGCGGCAAGTGTGTGTGTGTGTGGCCGCGGCGAATGAAGTCAAAGCCCGGGCGGCGCACTCACTCTTTGGCTGGCCCTCGCGGGAAGCTCTCCCGTGGGCGTAGGTGACCGCGGCCGGCAAGCAACTGCCAACGTATATCCCACGGCCGCTCGCGGGGGTGTTCGCCGCCCGTCCCGCCGTCGCCTATAAATGGGGAGGCCACGCAAAGGTCATGTCATTCCGTGGTCCCGAACTGCACTCTCTTCACCTGAGCACAGGCACGCACAACAACCTCGGAGTAGCTAACAGGCCCGCTGGGTCCGCCGTCTTCTTCCTCACCCTTCTTCACCTGAGCACAACAACCACCTTGGCTTCTGAACGCAGGGTACTGCTGCACCTACACCTGCACCATTGTCCATTGCTAGAGCTCTGTTGCTCTGTACAACTACCCATTGCCTAGACAGGCGCGTTATTGATGGTTGGTTGCTTTGCTGCAGATTGAGTGCCGCTTGCCGAGACAAGATGACGACCAAAGTTAACGGTCTGATGGATAAACTGGCCTTCTGGCTCGGATGGATTGCTCTCCTGCAAGGTAAGGGTACTCCTAGAAGCCTCTGGTTCATGCCTCACTGCGCTGCCATTGCATTCTCTGAGAAACTTGGCCTGTAACTGACATTGCTGCTTGCTGGTTCGTTCTCCATCTGTGCAGGCTGCATGGTGAAATCTCTTCCATACGATTACTCTGCAAGCATCGAGGCAAGTCCCTGCTCCTGTGTGCATGTGTGATGTGTCAGTATTGCTTTTCGCAGTTTCAGCTGCCCATTACCCATCTGGGTAGGACACATTCGTGGTCCAGCAGAAGCTTCACTGGCCGGCATTCTAGCTTAGTTTCGCAAAATAATATAATCATTGCCAATTGGCTGCCTTTGTCACGGGCTGCACGATAATCCACCGCACGCAATTCGTTCCTGTTGTGAGCTAACTACTACTACTTAAGATGGAATTCCCATCGTCCCTACGTACGTTATTATATGCTTTTCAGTGCCATGCACGACAGCGGCGCCGGCGCCGGCGTAGTAGCTGTGGTCCGTCGACGTCGAGTGTGTGTGTTGACATGTCATATAAGCCACGCCAAGCTCGACAAAAAGGACGCATACCTCATCTAGCATTTTAGACTCCACTCCCCCAAATTTAAAAGACTAAATTAGTTTGGTCCACGTGGCATGCTGCACAAGTAAGCTACTAAACCATTGTTAGAGCGATGGATTGTCTGATAATCTCAGGTACACGCATGCGTGTTTCTAGCTATACAGCAAAGCAAAGCATCTGCCTATTGCCAAGATCAAAGGAACATGCCTTCGTTAAGGATTCCGATGGGAAACTTGCAGCTGCATCCGCCAAATTCAAATTGATCGATTAAGATTTAAAATTTAACGGGGAAAAATTATTGATGGCCGCGTGGTGCAGTGCTTGCCGGAGCCGCTGGAGCCGCAGTACGGCGGCGGCATCCTCCGTAACGCCGACTTCAGCGCGGGCCTCCGGGGCTGGTCCACCTTCGGCTACGGCAGCATCGCGGAGAGCACGTCGGCGGCAGGCAACGGGTTCGCCGTCGTGCTCAACCGGACGCGGGCGTACCAGAGCGTCAGCCAGAAGGTGTACCTGCAGGGCGACACGCACTACACCCTCTCCGGTACGATGGATCGATCGGCCTCGTCGCGTGTGCTTTGCGATTTCTTTCGGGACTGAGACTGATCAGCTCCGTCGTTGGTTACAGCGTGGTTGCAGGTCAGCGACGCAAGCGCCGACGTGCGGGCCGTCGTCAAGACCATCGGTGACTTCGTCCACGCCGGCGGCGTCGTCGCCAAGGCCGGGTGCTGGTCCATGCTCAAGGGCGGCCTCACCGCCGCGTCTTCGGGTCCGGCCGAGCTCTACTTCGAGGTAGGAATCAGAACCAGTAATAAGGTTCATTAATTGGTTGTTGGCTTCGCAAATTTTACACGGTGTGAGAGCGAGTGAGACCGATCGATATGAGATTGTGCGTCCGTACGTGCAGAGCAACGCTACGGTGGACCTGTGGGTGGACAGCGTGTCGCTGAAGCCCTTCTCCAAGGACGAGTGGACGGCGCACCGCGCCCAGTCCGTGGTGGTGGCGCGCAAGAAGACGGTGAGGCTTCAGGCGACGGACTCCGCCGGGAAGCCGCTGGAGGGCGCGGCGGTGTCCCTGGACGCGGTCCGGACCAACTTCCCGCTGGGCGCGGCCGTGAGCCGGTACATCCTCACCAACTCGGCGTACCAGACGTGGTTCGCGTCCCGCTTCGCGGTGGCCACCTTCGAGAACGAGATGAAGTGGTACAGCACGGAGCCGGCGCCCGGGCGCGAGGACTACACGGTCCCGGACGCCATGATGGCGTTCGCCAAGTCCAACGGCATCGCCGTGCGCGGCCACAACGTGTTCTGGGACCAGCCCAGCCAGCAGCCCGGGTGGGTGCAGTCGCTTCCATACCCGCAGCTGCTGGCGGCGACGTCGCGGCGGATCCGCTCCGTCGTGTCGCGCTACGCCGGGCAGGTCATCGGCTGGGACGTGGTCAACGAGAACCTGCACTTCAACTTCTACGAGGGCCGCTTCGGCTGGGACGCGTCCACCGCCTTCTACGCCGCCGCGCGCCTGCTGGACGCCGGCTCCGCGTTCATGTTCATGAACGAGTTCAACACGCTGGAGCAGCCGGGCGACATGGCCGCGCTGCCGGCCAGGTACCTGCAGCGCCTGCAGCAGATCATCGCTGCCTACCCGGAGAACGGCGCCGGCATGGCCATCGGCCTCGAGGGCCACTTCACCAACCCAAACATCCCCTACATGCGCGCCGCCCTCGACACCCTCGCCCAGGCCGGCATCCCCGTCTGGCTCACCGAGGTCGACGTCGCCCCAGGCCCCTCGCAGGCGCAGCACCTGGAGGAGGTGCTGCGGGAGGCGTACGCGCACCCGGCGGTGCAGGGGATCGTCATCTGGTCGGCGTGGCAGCCGCAGGGGTGCTACGTCATGTGCCTCACCGACAACAACTTCAAGAACCTGCCGCAGGGGGACGTCGTGGACCGCCTCATCGCCGAGTGGCGCGCGACACCGCGGGCCGGCGCCACGGACGCGCAGGGCTACTTCGAGGCCGAGCTCGTCCACGGCGAGTACAAGGTCACCGTCAGCCACCCGGCGCTCAACAGCTCCATCTCCCGGAGCGTCAAGGTGGAGCTGGGCACAGGGAGTGAGCACTACTTCATTGACATGCAGGTCTAGACCAGCCGGATTATTCTTCAGTTGCTAGGTGTAATGTAAGATTTCAGTCAGGCTCTGGATCATTACCAGTTAATTACCTGCTGTCGGTCAGAACTGTGAAAGCTTAGAAGCTTAGTCATTCGTGTGTATCAGTTTTCACTTTTCACCTTGGAAAATTGCAACGGAAGGCAAAGGAAAAGAACATTTTTAATACTGCTCTCCAAGATTCCAAAGTAAAATGTTCCATGCTTCAGCTTATCATTCCTTTCCTTTTTTTTTCCTCATAAAGCTTATCCCCCCTTTGGCTTTGGCTTCAGGTCAACGTTAACTGCCCCTCTCGCCATTTTGATGCTTATTTTTTCTTATATATGCGTTTCTTATATGCAACAAAACAAATCTACATCACTCTGCTATTCTACTCGACATCACGTCACAAGAATAATTTCAAAGACGTAAACTGAAAACCACAAACAACGACATGTACGTACTCTGATAAATATGGAGCTAGGCTTTTGTCTCATTGGGTAGAACATTTTGTGCTCTATTGCAAAAATCTCCATCGGAGCAATTAATTTTTCAACCATAGTTAGCTAGAATGATTAGTGACAGAACAGAAGAAAAGTAGCACCCCAATAAAAGTAAAAAGGGACAAAACTCCTAATTATCCCTAAAGAAATTCCACAGAGAGTTTATTCTTTGAGATGCAATCATCCCAATTCCCAACTCACGATTATGACCTCTGTTAGTTTTAGTTAAGTCATGTAACCAACGAGTTGACGTCATCTAGAAGCCAACAAGCAGAATTATGGGCGAAGTACAGGCATAAAAAATGTCATATTTTCGTCCACAGCACATCCAAAGTCCCAAAATGAGTTGCATCATTTGCTACAAAACAAACCCATGTCACACTCTACACAGCTTAAATGATGTGAACTCTGCTATTCTACTCAACATTGCATTCGCATTACAACAGTAAGTTTGAAGATGAAAGAGAAAAAACACAAACAGCAATAAAAGCTCTGATATACATCACTAATTAAACAGGAGATACTATGGATAAGAAAGCAACTCTTTGATCGTGACAACTTTCTTAAAGCACCAAGTCGTCACGAAGCTTCAACAAAGCCGAACTTGCCAAGCACTGCTGCTGTTTCCTTCCTTGAGCTGCAATTTTGCACTTGGTGTCAAAGATTATTTTTTCTAAGCATTATGGTAGAAACAATTTCAAGCTTCCATCGCTCAATTTGATGAGAGCATTTCATTAAAGTTTTGAGGAATTGATACAACTAGTACCGCTTACCTTCCATCTCTCAATATCTTGTAAAATCCTGGTGTTATTAGATCAACAATTGTTGAACCAGCACGCCCAGAAGGAAGTACTCCACCATCAAAGATATATGAACAATGTGGCCATAAACCCTCAAAATCTTTGACACAGACACTACTAGGCTGTCCGCTTAAGTTGGCGCTGGTAAGTGCAAGTGCACTTCCAGCACCATGAGCAATGGATCGTATAAAATCCAGATCTGGCACACGAACTCCAATGCTATCCAAGCCAGGATTAAGTGATGTCTCTAATATGCTGTTTTCACCTAAATGTAAACAAATGAATAGTATGATCAATGCCTGAGCTTGCTTAAGATAGATGCTACATAAAACTAAGGAACACAGTGTGGTAACTGCACCTCGTTTTAGAACAACAGTGACAGGCCCAGGAAGTAGACTATCAAGCAAGCCATGTGGCAAGTGGTCCACTAAAGCAAACCGTGATATGTCTGAGACATCAGCAACACAAATTGCCAGAGGCCGTGTTTGTATGCGCCCTTTGATCTCATAAATACGATTAACTGCTCCCGCAGAGCTGTCATGAAGAGTGTTTTAAGAAACCAAACAAATAAAGAATTAAAAAAATGAAACACAGCCAATGAAACTCCTAAATGAAATTCTCTTCTTCAAACTTCAAAGGATGAATCAGTACTAATTTCTAGCTGGGGATGAAAGCAGAATCGAAAAGTAACTAAAAGAGAAATATGAAATATTTGTGTATGTTTCCTCTCACTTATTTTTATGGGTACAGATTCCTCATTACTTGATCCTGCAATTATTACGAAAGAACCTAATATTGCTGTATATCTGTATTGTGTCCTAATATGGGGCAAGTCATATATGCATTAAAGTTCCTATGGCACTAGGGGGAAGAAAACACTAACCAGGCATCACACGCAAACCCGTATATGGTATCAGTGGGCACCGCAATCACTTCTCCTCTGTTGATTGCATCAGTTGCTTTCAAGACATGATCTTTTATTGCTGGGAAAATGTTTTCTGCTGTGGCATCTATTCTGTGTGCTGTGCTTTCTGACACCCTAACTGAGCAGGATACTTGAGACTTCGTCTCATATTGAGAGGGTAATCTGCTTACCTTAACAAAGCTGAACATAGAAATGTGTCATCATGTCATTATGCCATGTAGTAATGCCGATAAAAGAAACAAATAGTTCTCCAGTGCACAAAAAAAGAATCTCCATGAAAAACATAATTCTCAAGCAAATAATTTTCATGGAATACTTTATTCCAGTAGCAATACATGACATAATTTGGAAACTGAGGTTGAAGTTCATCATGCCCACAATTTTCTCAGTACTGTTTGTGTCTGCAGTTCACTGGCAAACCAAGAAACCTAAGATCCCAATTTTCTCGTGACTAAAAACACAGAGAATATCAATTAGCAGACCCAATCTATACTAATGATATGAAGTTGGTAGCATGGGGTAACAACAAGCTCAATCAGAATAAAGGTACTACCAGGCCCAGGTGCCCCAGCGCAACAGCAGGGGAAGCGCGGCCACTGGCCTGGGACCCAGATGACAAGGGGACCTGAGCTTGGCAAGCTAGTATTACTTGTTTACATATATAAAATACAAGCACACCAATCTTGATTGTTTTGTTTATATACACCTTTGACCATGGTGCAGCCTTTTGCGTTCCAGCACTAGCCCCCCTCGTAGCTTAATGCTTATAAGCTTCCCATATCATGATTCATGATATCCGTTCATAGCTCTCTGCTGAAATTTTGTCTAGCCTAGACTTTGTTACCACTAAAAACTCAAATGTGTACTCAAGAAAGGCTCTGTTATATACTTATAACTTCAGTGTGTTCCAAAACATCAAATTCATGTGAATTTGTTCCTTGCTTTCATCTCTTATATTATTAATATGTGGTAATATGGATGTGGTAAAATAAAGTAAACATGTGTCTGGATCTGGATGTCAAAAGGGAAAATAAAGGAAACACACAATATTTCTTGAATTAATACATTGAAAACATCTCATTATCTTTTCAAAAAATAACAATCCTGAATTCTAGACTTTTGTTAAATCGAATTTTTTTTTTTTGTCTTAGGGCTTTAAGTCTTTGGAATCTAGCACTAACAATGTTTCTTGAAGAATAATGAACTGAAATTGAAAACATCTCAATGAAATATCTTTTATTTATTAAAAAATAACAAATTTTTGTTCCCTAACAATAGTTCATGTTCGTGCAATGTACTAAAAGTTTGATTTGGAATCGCAATAACAATTTTTTTTTTGTCTTAGGGCCTCCACCTTTGCTTTGCCCCAGGCCACCAAAATATCAGGGGCGGCGCTAGCTGCTACTGGTGGGCACTTTTACTTTACAAGATACAGTGATGATCGAATACAAAAGAATCACTTGCCATCACATGATTTGTATCCAGGTAGTTGGGAGGGAACACAACTGTGAAACAAAGGAGCATGAAAACATACCATAGTAATTTAACTGCTAAATAAAGTTAGGCGACCCAGTAATGATACTAACGCGCCAATTTGTGGCAGTGCCGGAGGTATATGTAATTGTCAGGGTCAACTCACCCCCACGAACTTTCCAATTTCAACTGTGAAACCATCAAATCACTCTTCTAAGCAAACAAAAAAAAAAATACATATTGTGTTAGCACTGCGAAGCCCAGTGCCTGACCCCGGTGCACAATACTCTGGCTCCGGTACTGGGCAGTGGCATGCTTATGCGCACTAGCAGAACAACTCATGCTAGATGTACACTCCTACATGTCAATCCTTTGTTTCTATATATACGTATTTAAATAACTGATAATGCCTAATAAGCATATCAAAATTATGAAACGAGGGCATCGAACGATTAGGGAGCAAGCGGAGGAGAATTGGCCAGAGATAGACAGAGAGAGATAATAATACCTCCGAGCGAGAGGCCGCCTGGTTGACGGAGCACAGACCAGCGGCAGCCTCTCCCCCGCCGCCTTCGCGCACGCCTTCATCTCCCCTCTCCCCTCCTCTTTCCCCCCCGCAGGCCGCCGCAAGAGAGGAGAACGAGCAGCGGAGCAGGAGGTGACACGAGGTTTCGAGGCGGCGTCAAACGAGTTCGCCTTGACTAATATCCGGCAGGGGTAAGGGGTCCCGTGTCTCTCTGACAGCTTGGCCCCGCGATACTCCTGGCTTCCGGCCTTCCGGGAGTTTGGCACCCGTCTCGGGCTCTTGTGTGAGCTAGGGTTTAGGCACTAAGCGGCGGCCGCGGTGAGGATGGCGGAGGCGGTCGTGAGGTGCCTCCGGGACGGACGGCTCGACGGCGAGCACGCGCCGGCGCTGGCTGTGGAGGGATCACTCCAGTGCTGCCCGCTCGCGGCGGGCGCGATGCTCCACATCGCGGCCGCATTCGCCTCCCAGGTCGCCGCAGGGAAGGCGCAGGCTAGGTTTTGCCAGTCTCTTCGCCTTCTGGTGCGTAGGCTTTGCGTAGATTTGGCTGATGATGTGAATTAGCTTGGTTGTGAATTTTTGGTGGTGCAGGGGGCTGGTGGTCGTGGCATTCGATCGGAGCCCACTGGTGTACCTGGAATTCATGCGGCGCCGCAGCCTTGACACAAATGCTTTGGACCGATGGTATGATCTCACAGAAGCATTTCTGATAAATAGAAGGTGTTTGTTGTGCACGGGCCGAACGTAAATATTTTTCAGACATGCGGAATGTTACTCCGACATGGACATTGGTGTTGGAATTTGACTCCAATTTGGGTCTCCTATTCAGAATATATTTTTCTTTCACGACAAAAGATGTTGGTGCAAAATTGGCAATTTAATAAATTTTGGAGTAATTGCAAAACAAGAGCCTCTTTTGTATCAGGGTGGTGTACTGCCAATGTAGCTCCTCTTAAGCATAGATCAAAGAAGATTCTTATATTAACTAACTTTCTGGAGTGGGAGCTTATGCATTTCCATTCATGCTTAAAATATATCAATAATTTTGATTTTCTGTTGGTCTTGGTTGGTTGAGCACAAATTTAACTATCAGTATCTCAGCGTGTGCAAAATCAGACATTGGATTCTTTGGTAACACAAATACCAGAAACATCTGTAGGGTCACTATGCAAAGAAATTTTAAATTTTAAATTCATAAATGTTCATACAATCTCCTTTCCAATTTAAAATCTGAAGTTGATATACCGAGTTGGCAGTTTGATATGCCATCTGAAGAGTTAAATGCTCAAGCTAACTGGACACTCTTTTGGCACACTATCTGTAAGGCAGAATGCATTCCTTCTGATAAAACGTACATGATAAGTTTACATGCATTCAACAGTGTTCGAATATTGGATTGCTATTCTGACCCCCTTGGATGGAAGCAGAAGATTCAAAATCAGCAGCATCAGGGGAACAGTGCAAAGCAGTTCTCAACAAACAAAGAGAACATTACTGTTTATAGAAGTGTGAAGGATGTTACAAAATTGATGTCCTCCGTTACTGAACTTGGAGGAGGTATTATCTGCCATAGAGCGTTTGACCTGTTATTATTCCTTTGTTTCTGCCCTAATCCTAATTTGCTTACATTACTGATGTCAGGTTTTGAAGAAGGCAAAAAGTATTTTTCTGTGGCAGTTGACTCAGTAAGAACTAACTACTTCCCTCTGACATTTTTGTGGGTGGAAACAATACCTGAGTTCGGATTATGTATAGTAACTTTGTTTCCCCCGTTGACAAAACTGGGGTTCCTACTGAGATTAATACCATTTGTTGAAGATTGTTTCATCGTCCATGTTTAATTATCTATGGAACTGATTTGACTAATGTTGTGGAAGTATGAGACATAAATAAACAGAAGATATAGTCTTATACTTCAATGGTTTTGTTATTGGAGTTCAGTTATTGTTCAATAGGTTGAAATTTTGGTGAATCATCATTAGCATATCTTTAACTAACAGCCAAAGCATTATCTCACTAACAACAGAGCAGTATGACATCAATCAAAAGTATTCCACTATTTGCTTTAGTTGGCATTGTTTACTGTTTGAAGGAAAACCCTATATTATCTCTTTATATAATCCAATATTTGAAAAGATGAAAGTCCATTGACTCATTGCTCTTATATATTCAACTTTCATTTGATACTTAACACCAAACATCCTCTATGTTATTTCAGATTAGCTCCATGTTAAGGCATGCTTCAGTGCCATCAATTTCAGGCCTTCTTACTAATCTTCGAAGCCATGGTATCCCTGCTTGTTCTATCTTCCATGCATATCATAGTGTTAGTGTAACCTTCTTGAGCAGCTGAACAGAATTTCTAGCAGTGTAATAATATTTTTGGGTATGTGAATCATCTTTGTCTTTTAGTGTTAGTATAGATCTGCAACATTGTACATGCCTATTTCAAACTCTGGACTTTTAAATGCCTTCAAGTAACACTAAAGTGTATTAATATATATCTGTCCTATTGTAGAACAAGTATCGTCAATCTTTTGGATGATACATTCAGACCTCCATGAGCCCAAGGTGCCCCGAGCATTTGAATGTCTTTCCACTATGGTTGCTTGTGTGGAGCCAGCGCTTGTGGATCCTGTTTGTGGAGAGAGTCCTGGAAACTTGTCTGTCCTTGAGCAAAATTATTCAAAAGCAAAATTTATTGTGCGCCTTAAAAGACGAAATGGACGGGTGAAGCACCTTGTAAGGCTCCCTGCTGCTCCAGTGTTCTTATTTTTTTGTTTGCTTCTAAATTCAATTGAGGAAAGCCGGTTGATATTTGGTACAAACCCTACCTGTGCAGTACGAGGACCTGTATATTGAGGGGAATGATATCAAATTTGATTCGGCTCCTTCTGTAAGTATAGAAGTGAACCAAAGTCTAGTGCCTAAGGTTAGTTCCTACACTCTAGATTCTAGAACAATTAAATACTGTTGTGGGCCACTTATGTTAGTTGTTACTCCTATTTACAAATATTGGTCGTTGTTGTAAATTGTGATAAGTTGGTTCAACAGGCTCAGTTCAATCTTGAGCTGTCAGAGAAGGAGCGCAGTGACAGGGCAAATGTTGTTCTTCCTTTTGAACATCAAGGTAAATTTTATATGAAGTAAAGTTATTTCTGAGGTTGTGTTTTGATTCTGGGAGGTGCATTGCAGCTGGAACTTGACTTTCCCACATTTTATCTCAGGAAATGGCGAACCAATTCGTATATATGATGGTCGCCGGTCCCTACCTGAGGCTCAACGTGACCTGAGCTTAACCGCACCGGCCCTTGTGGATGAAATAAAAGCTCCCAAATCTGGAACTGCAAAGGGTGAAATACATTACTTCCGTGACTCAGATGACGAGCAACCTGACTCAGATGAAGACCCAGATGATGATTTGGACATATAAAGTGTGAGTGTAGGTGCTCTTTACTTTAGTAGGTGGCATGCGCAGATGAACTTAAAGTATAGGTTTGAATATATATAAGTATGAGCGTTGAGAGTTGCTATCTTTTGTAGGTTAGTATTTTTTTTAGCGCTTCCATGCTTTACCTTGTCAATCGTAGTTGCACAAACCTTGAAGCGCTAAAATTAATGAATTGTATTACTTATTTTAGAGTATGTTTGCACAAATCAACCTTGCTAAGTTTTTGATTGAACTCAAAGAATTTGGTGTTTACATCTGTTTAATATATTAAATGTTTTGCTTCCCATTCTTGGCCACATTGTAGGTAGCAGAAACCTTAGCCAACACTTTTTACTTAGATGAAGTTTGATAGACTAGTTTGTCCAACAAACAAACAAAAAAATGCATAAATGACATGTAGGGGCATGGCTGACTATTTCCCCCCCTCTTTTAGACTATGTTAAGGCTGAAGTACGCAATAACAATAATTTGGGTGCATAATTCTTTATTAATGAGTTGTTATATTTAATGATATAGGACGATTTTGTTAAAACGAAATCTTACATATGAACTTCAAATGCTCTGATCTCACTGTAACGTGGTTGGGTGAGTCTAAGAAACTCCTCACGAAATGTAGGCCCAACTATTCGGATTTTGGATTAAAATAATCACATGTATGTTGGTCCCTCGGCTGCCCTGCACAGGTAAGCAGTAAGCTTACCAGCACACTCACTCACTATAGCTAGAGGTAGAAGAAGATATTGAGAACAACTCACACACACAGCACAAGCCCAGCGCTGGCCGAAAGCTCTGCCTCTGGATGTGGCAAAACTGAACTGATTTGTTGTATTGCCTTTGGATAGAATATATACAACTCTAGCTGTACCTCTACCAGGTACATATTTGTTGGTAAGTACACCAACTACCTACTACCGGAGTATAAGAGTACACCAACTATCTACTTCTAAGGTACAGAGTACATCAACTACCTACTCCTAAGATACAATGGTACATCAACTACCTACTCCTAAGGTACAAAGCTTAGCTCAGCCATCTCCACTCTACATGGCTGAAGTAAACCACTACTACTATGGCCTACTGCCTTACTGCTACAACTACAGGAGCTGGTCGGTAGAGCCGATCAGTCTCCAACTCCCAACAGGGAGTGGTCAGCCGAGCCGACCATTCTCCAACAATGGAGAAACGGGAGCAGCAGATTATGTCTTAGAATTCTTTTCCTAATCCTGCTGCTAACCCGATGCCTTGACCTCATCCATGCCAATCATCTTCCTCAGCTCCATGAACCGCAGGCGCCCGAGTGACTTGGTGACGAACTCGATGACGATCTGCCCTTCATCGATACAGTCCCAGAGGAAGTGGAACTTGATGTCAATGTGCTTACTCCGGTCGTGGAGGATAGGGTTCTTGGCAAGGGCGATAGCGGGCTGGTTGTCCACCATCAGAGCTGGTGGGTGAGCTTCATCGCTGGTCAGCTCGCCCAACAACCGGCGCAGCCAGACAGCCTGGCACGCCTCCGTGGCCGCTGCGACGTACTCTACCTCACACGTCGACAGCACCATGATCTTTTGCTTCAGCGACTGCCAAGCAATGGGGGCCGCTCCAAAGAAGACGAGC